GCAAGTAACCAGGATATTCGTCAATGAGAAATTTAGTTTTCACCACTGAAATTACTGGAAAAAACCTTTAGTGCACTTTCATATGTTACACACTCGTCAAAAGTTAATTGTTCATAAGAAATATTTATTACCATGAATCGCTGTAGTGCTAGATCTTCAACCAACTAACTCGTAAATATAATATGTATGTAGTTTACTGTGGAAAAACAATAAACACCGAAAACTAGAGAGAGCAAAAAGGGTCTGTGAAAAATAAAAATGTAGAAGAAAAACAACATCAAGTTGCATAGTGTGACATCAGCAAACACGCAAACAATCGTTATAAACACTACGTACATACATATCTCCGTAAATTCACTTGAGAATGCATGCGCCATTTAATATATTACGTCTAAAAAGTTGATGCAATCCTAATGCCCTTAAAAAGGTTAAGGTCAAGGAGGTTTCAGAATCAGTGACCAGGTATCCTCTGCTTGCTCTGAGTCGCCAGTACGTCAAGGATATAATTTGTATACTGCGTTTTGGAACATGTTACATTTTACCTAATATTTTGTTTAGCAGTTGAACATCTTCTTTAAAATACATTTTCTGTCCTAAAAACACCGCCGAATCATAATGCAAGCAAATTATTTCCTCTAACCGACGCCATTTTCATGCCAGCAAGCATATATATACAGGGTGTTTCACTCTATTGTTGCATAACTTCGAGATTCGATAGAACTTTTAAAATTAATGCATAAAGTCTATATAAACATGGGTCGAAAAATGCGTGGCTTCCGAAATACAGGGTGCTTAAATTTACTTTTTAAAATAGTTTTTTTTTAACTATTTCGAACAACATTTAATGTATAGGTAACAGTGAAAATTGGTATACAAGGGTTTTTTGGTACGACAAAACGAACCATGGGCATAGTTTTACTGTAGCCGCTAGAGAGCGCTCTCTACTGTACCTGTAGTGTATTAAAATGACCGAAAATTTTTTCTTAGTGCAATTTTTTGCTTTTTGAATAAAAAAACTGATTCTTCGTACTTTTCAACATAAAAAAGCTATCTTGTGAATTTTCGTTATAGTTAGCCGTTTTTAAGATATTTCGATTTCTAAGGTTCGATGCATTTGAAATGAAATGAAATTGAAAGCAGAATAAGGTTAAACGTCAATTAGTTGACAGTTAGTTTTGTTGTCAGTTGAAACCTGAAACGTTTTTTTGCAATTGTGAATGCACGAAATATAGTTTCTTTTACCTGTTTTTTTGTAAGTTTTATAAAAATGCCATTTTTATTCTCCAATCAAGAGTTAGCGGATATTCATTTTGTGTATGGCTTTGTAAATGGAAACGCAGCAGAAGCAGCCAGAGAATACGCACGAAGATTTTCAAACAGACGACATCCAACTCGCTCAGTATTTGTAAGAGTGCATCGCCAAGTAATTGAAAATGGTTTTGGAAATCTCCAAAGAGATCAAAACATAAATGTTCGTCAGCGCAGATTTACCCGTATGATTTTGCGTGAGTTTGATAGAGATCCGACCACAAGTGTTAGGAGAGTTTCCGGTGCATTGGGAATTTCAGCAAGCCATGTTCACCGTGTTCTTAGAAATGACCATAGACGTCCTTACCATTTGCAACCTGTGCAAGGACTACAGCCAGGGGACGAAGAACGAAGAATCTCATTTTGTCGGTGGATTCTTGATAGAACTGATTATAATAGGGAGTTTTTAAGTAACGTTTTATGGACCGATGAGTCATGCTTCACTAGACGTGGAGTGGTAAATTTTCATAATCAACATACTATATTTGGTCGCATGAAAATCCGCATGCAGTTCGGGAAAGAAATTTTCAGCATGAATTTAGTGTGAAAGTGTGGATTGGTATCTACCATAATCGACTATTTGGACCCTACCTTTTGCCTGCAAGGTTAAATGCTGCGACCTTCTTGGAATTTTTAAAGGCTGAACATGCAAATATGTGGGATGATGTTATGTTAGATTTAAGAAGATTGGCCTGGTTCCAGCTTGATGGTTGTCCAGCTCATTATTCGAGAATAGTTAGAAACTGGCTGGACAAAAATTATCCAGAAAGATGGATCGGCCGTGGAGGACCAGTCGCCTGGCTTCCACGATCCCCTGACCTAAATCCATTAGATTTCTTTGTGTGGGGATTTATAAAATAAAAAGTGTACCAGATTCCCGTAACCACAAGAGATATGCTAATAGACAGAATCAGGAATGCATGTGATGAAATAAGGCCTTATTTGAATAATGCTATACCACGTTCGATCATTCGTAGATGTGAATTGTGTATTGAACAATTGGGCTTACATTTCGAGCAACTACTTTTAGATTTTGTATGTTTGTCCTAACTATCCAATAGTATTTTAGTTGTAAATAATTAATTTAATTTTTTAAAAATAATAATGGAAAATTACACAAATTAATATTCTTTTTTTTTGGTGTTTCTTTGGAGTTAGGAATTATTGCTGTGTTTAAAAACACAATCTAAACGATCATCTTAATTACTTGTAATGCCCAAGTCGAAAATGTAAAAAAAATATTATTTTCCCATAAATAATTAAAAATGCATCGAACCTTAAAAATCGAAATATCTCAAAAACGGCTCACTATAACGAAAACTCACAGGAAAGCTTTTTTATGTTGAAAAGTGCGAAGAATCAGTTTCTTTATTCAAAAAGCAAAAAATTGCACTAAGAAATTTTTTTCGGACATTTTAATACACTACAGGTACAGTAGAGAGCGCCCTCTAGCGGCTACAGTAAAACTATGCCCATGGTTCGTTTTGTCGTACCAAAAAACCCTTGTATACCAGTTTTCACTGTTATACATCAAATATTGTTCGAAATATTTAAAAAGAAACTATTTTAGAAAGTAAATTTAAACACCCTGTATTTCGGAGGCTACGCATTTTTCCACCCATGTTTATATAGACTTTATGCAGTAATTTTAAAGGTTCTATCGAATCTTAAAGTTATGCAACAATAAACTGAAACATCCTGTATTGTCATTGTTAACAATTTATGACTAAAATATAAGCCATAAAAGCTTTCATGAAACGATGGAGGTATGATGGCCCTGAAATTTTGGATTAAAATGGATTAAGGTTTAGCTCTCCGACGACTACCACTTAGACACAACGCTTAAAGTAACGTGATCGGCTTAGTCGACCAAATTAATGTTCGTCCGCAGAGGCTTTTTGTATGTTATCCAAAATCTAAACATGCACGATACATACAGGACGACCCAGAATAAAAGTGACCAGCTTAAGATTGTAGCTGTTTGGTAGAAATACGTGGTGCTGCACAAAGAATATGTCAGGGTTTTTTATGCGAATATACTAATAAAACAACATACGCTTTTTTAGCAATGATTTTCCTGAAAATGTGTCATGTGTCATGATGCTTGAAATGAGTCATCTAATTGGGTAGTACAATTTGTTGTACGGGGTATCCGGCTATAAACTAACCCCTCTCTCAAAACTTCTTATATGACCTTCCAGAAGGAAAAGCTATAAGGTCTAATATGAAGTTTCCCATGTAGTATTTTTTGTCTCAGAAAAGTGCTATCGAATAAAGGTTGCATTTTTGAAATGTAATACCCTATACAATTTTAGAAAAAATGATAGTCCCTTTTTTCTGATTCAAAATATATGTATACGGTTTATCATCATTATTCTCATTGCTTTGACCAAAAGCTTAAAGTTTGTATGTTATTCACTCATGTTGGGTATCCGAGTTCGAACTAGTTTGCATCTAGCCGCCTATAGAATCTCGTATAGGGCCGGAATACCTATAATTAAATGAAACACAACCATCAATTTTTTGACTAAAGTAATAAAAATAAGTAAATATTTCCTTCTGAAGCCACACAGATACTGAAATAGCCTTCAGCTGGATGGTTACAGGCGTTTTAATGCTTTCGACTGTTCCAAAATGAATTCCCTTGAGGTAATTTTTCAACTTCGGGAAGAGAAAAAGGTCACAAGCTCTCAAATCAGGTGAATAAGGAGGTTGATGAGAGACAGGAGTATCCTTACTGGCAAAAAACTCGTTTATTGACATTGCTGTGTGACAAGGAGCATGATCGTGATGCAAGACCCAGTTGTTGATTTGATGAACGATGGCTTAAGTCAAATTTAACTCTTTCCCGATCATTCTGACTGTCAACCGTCGATCTAACAGCACGATATATCGGATTCTGTCGATATCTTCATCATTTCTTGAAGACGAATGCCTCCCGCTTCGTGGTCCATCTTCAATCGACTCTCTCCCTTCGAAAATGCCTTAAACCACCGAAAAACCCGAGCTCTTGATAAAACGCGATTTCCGTAGGCCTGTTTAGCAAGAGTTTCCGTTACACTGTGAATAAGTCTGAAGCAAAACCTGAAAGCACACCGTTGCATAAAATTGATGTCAGTCAGTCTTAGAACACATTAGAAAAAACTTACACTTTCCACTGTCCGCCCTCCAAGCCCGGCGCCGCCAGTGTTGCTAGATCAAAGGATAAGTGTTAATTTTCAGACCTCGTATATTTTTTCTATTTGAAAAGCTACAACTATATTCGATAGCACTTTTCCGAGACATCAGGTATACAAAAATACATGAATAACTTCACATTAGACGCTATAACTTTTATACACATCTTTTTCTTTTAGTGTCATATAAGTATCTAGTACAAGGTATCATTAGTTTGTGTTTCTCAGTGGAACTTTATATGCCCAATTGTATTACCAAATCATACGATTGAAGAGTTTCACTAAGTAAGAGCATCTAAAATCTACAAGATCATAGGAATCTGGATTGTTGAAAAAATATCTGAAGGGTAACGGATAGTGGTCAAATAAAATTCCGAAAGTGTAATTGTAACTTCTTATATGGTCTCTACGACACTCGTTTGTGTTTCTGGTTAAAAATTTAGGCTTGCATTCGTATATGTATGTACGTTGTGTTGAGCTAAGAGTGGGCATCGACAGATAAATGATTGGACGGACCCCGTTGTTTGCCGTTGATGCCGTTGTGAGAAGGAGGAGCTGGTTGCCTTCGGTAACCGGTGCTGTTACCGTTACCGTTACCGTCCTCAGGCGACTGCAGCCCACAACAAAAGTCCGCATCTGGAACACACCACACAAGACTACATACCAAACGAATCGAAACTTAACACATTCATACTCATTCTTGATTCAAACTCAGGGTATTTTTTTAACGACAAAGAAGTTCGCAAGTTGAGTACTTGGATGTTGACTGGGAAAGTCTATAGTGATTTAGTTTAATGTACCTTTTGCATTTGGTCTTAATTTGTAGAAATGCGTCAAATTTATATTAAAGCTACCGAAAATCACATACTATACGGACGCTCAGAGCACTACGTTTAAAACCGAGAGAAAATGACGTATTTTTTGTAGTTATTCAAGGCGTTGTTAGGGCGGTTGCTATGGACACGATATTTAGATAACACTTATTACGAGGAAGCTGTGGCTCGACATCAGGGCCGTCAAATAAAGGTCTTCATCCCCAATAGTGCCATTATGCCAAATTGGACGCGACATAACCACAAGCTGTTCACTAATGTAGAGACTTGAATCTTTCGAAGCAGTGCACAATGTCAGATTGAATTATAAATATTTCAAAACTTGGCGTGGCTACTTATTTGGAGTTAATGTGAACGATTCTATAAAAATAGAAAAATGGAGTGATGTCATATTAAGGGTGATAGTGATTATCGTTTTTATAATCTGCACTACTAGAACATAATTTGACTACCGACGTGACGTTAGCGCAACTCTAAAGGTGTTTTAAGCCTTCGCATCATGTCACTTGATAAGGACACTAAGTGCACGGCATTAACGACGAAATACTTCTCATTCAGAGCATTGCAGCTTGTCCAATTGCATATCTAGTCACTTCAAACATGGCGGTGTTACTCTATTTGAAGTTGTGGCCGGATCTATATAAATATACTTTAAAAGAAAAAATACGTTTTCAAAAACAGCTTTTATTTAGCTGTTAATAAAACAAACTGAAAAATCAAAAATATTTTCCCGATTCGAAATATGTTGTTTTATACTTCTTAACCTCTAAACGACATTGATGCTCCTTCATCTCAAGAGTTCAAATAAGAGAGCGCCACACTCTTTTTTTCTTATTTGCTGTTAAAACGTAACGTCACGAAGACTAGAGATAGGAGATTAAACTCATAAAGGTCTATTCATACTCAGCCGTGACGTGTGTCAGTGCCAGTGATTCTCGTTGACGTGAGCTCACAATGTTTTCAATTCACACTGGTCAGTATTTTTCTCCGTGCTCTGACAGTGCAGTTGTGTTCAAGTGAGGTCGAAATGCAAACATTTTCAGAGGATGATCTTGCAATTATTGTATAAATTCTGAATTAAGAAGGAGAAGAAACGAGAAGAAAATGGTCCATGTATTTTGAATTTGCCTGGTTGTACAGCACGGGATGTGAGCGCACAAATTCAATTAATTCTTCAACATTCATGTTTTTGACCAAATACAGGTATCAAAATATCGATGATCACAGTACGGCGTCTTCGAGGGCACTGAGAACACAGCCACTTCCACGTTCCGGTCTAGTATGAATCAGTTCATCCAAATTCCAGGAAGAATCTTTTTAGTTTCGCCGGGTGGATCACGTGCACTGTCACGTTACGGCTGAGTATGAATAGGCCTTTAGAAAGGAGGTGAAGCCAAAAATGTCGACGATGAAGTAAATTAGTACGCTGCACAGGAAATAAATTTTAGATACTGCGCATGTGGAATCTCTTTCTATTGCTGTCGTCATGACTAAACAATTCCAATTTTGACAGTTCGGACGAGTTGCAAGCTGAAATATTGGATTAAAATAATAATAAACCACAAAGTAATAAACCTACAAAGCATAGCAAAACGTGAGTGAAATGCATATTAAGATTTGCGGCAGGTTCTATTGTTTTTTTTTGACATTTTTCAATGTGCAGACGCTCTACGCCATACTCTACGCCCACTAGATTTCCACGAGCCACAACATCCATTGCCACAGGATTGGCTTCATACGAGTTGAGTATCCTTTACGAGGTTCAACCCCCAATCTGTAGTATTCGTGTGTAACACACAATACCAGCTTTAGATAAAAGATGGTTGTCATTAAAACATTGTTCATCATCATAAATGAAGAAGTCAACTTACAGTGGAGTTATTAGTTTTTTTTGAAATAAGTCACCGTGTCGGTCGAAATGTCAGTACGAATGTGTTCACACATATGTGGTTTGATTTGGCTAGGAAATATCCCTTATTGTTATCAGCATGAAAACCACAAGATAAGCTTCAGGCGTAACATCAAGTTTAGAACTTCAGTCGTTAAAAAAATATGTTGTCAAAGCTTCAACAAAGCTCTCGCCTTGACTCAACGATGCATTTGAAAATGATCTCAAATATTACCAGCATAAGCTAATCATGTTAGGTGAAGATGCATCAAATAAAAGTGCAAATGCAAGATCAAAATAAGCAACATAATTATAATGATATGAAGCAAATACTACGGAATACAATGATACCTTTGGGCAAAAACGCATACCGACCTCTAACGGGAGGTAGCAGTCTTTTGTCATAACGTGTGGCTAAGAGGAGCTGGTCCAAGATTTCTTTGTCAGATTTGCCCTCTTCGAATCTGAAAAAGAAATTGATAATATTTTGCTAAGATCGCCACATTCAAATAGGTGAACGCTTTTTCAATAAATGTCGTAAATGTCATTCAGGCATCCTTTGAAGAAATATCAATTAGAGCATCACCAAAGAGTAGTTATGTCAAGACACTTCTGGAATGTGCCCGAAAACAAATTTTCTCTTACATATTCGTGTACTGATATGATACGATAAAAAAAGAAAACAGCAATATTCCATGCACTGGGAAAAAAGTTAATTATTACAACTAAAGTATTATTTAGGCACATTAAAGAAATTCATTGACTATGTGACAGAAGCTTAGAAGTTTAGTTTAATTAGGCTCCGATTACTAAAACAGTTTACTTGTATTTATGAAACTAGCTTAATTGAATCAAAACGCAATCGTTTAATTAAATATATTAAACCGTTCACTTAGATTGGATACACCAATTTATTTAGAATTAATGATCTATTAAAATGAGTTAACCTACTTCAAGTAAAACAATTTAATCGTATTTATCATTTGTTTAATTAGTGGAGGTGAAATTTGTCTACATTCAATGAATTATTTTATTCAGATTTATAAGTATATTTAGATAATATTTGGAATATAAACAACAAATTGCATTTTACTAAATGACGTGTATCATAACTGTTCGCGGATAAATCTAAAATTGGAAAATTTGATATTGATATTTTCAAATCAAGATTCCAAACTTTGTGAACCTAACAAAATTTGCTGTTTTTTATTTCTATTGATTATACATGGGATCAAGTTTTAACAATTATTTGTCTGATGGCCCAGAAACAGGTTGTAATCTATCACCATTCACTAGAAGCAATTCTTATACCAAATTCAGGAGTTGGGGAAAGGGAGACATGATACTGAATAAGGCTACTTGATGATGTGTACAAAAATTGTACTTTTTTTCTAGTAAAACAATATTGCACTCACACGCATTCAACGCATTTACATAATATGTAAAAAAATCGACATCACTTCAAACATTTTCAAATACTACAACGTTTGCACCAACATGAGATTCCACTTCCTATATATTCGTTATAAAATATACACACTGAATCAGATGATTTAATCAAAGCATTAAAGGTGATACATCATTTATCGTTGAACTATAAGTGCATCAAAAAATGTCTATGTATCGATATTCGGAGCAAAAAATATTCTAACCATGGTTCTGGGTCACTAAGAGCCTTATCCTCCAGTATCTACGAGCCCCTTCCCACTTCAGTTGGCCCAACTATTGAAATCTTAGTTTTTTTCTTATCAAACTCAAATAATAAAAACGTAGCAGGGTGTTATAGGATTAAAATATTAACAATGAATATAGAAAACACCAACTTTATCAATCCCTATCAATTTTGCAGCATAAAAATAACACATGTTGCTGTTACAGCATATCAACCTATTTTCGTTTCAATGCAAAATATGTCTATAACGCATAGGTGGCTGTGAAAAATAAAAGCCATGACAATTGTTTTTATTAATCACAGCTGTCAGAATACGTTTAAAATAGTTTTGGGTAGTTAAGGTTTCCAAAATGGGTAGAGGAAAGGTTACTAGTGAGAAAATTCGGTTACTGATAATTAAATTTTTTAATTCTGGGAAATCAAACTCAGAAATTGCAACTTTGTTAGACTTATCGCGCTACAGTGTGAGAAATATTGTTAGAAGATATAACGTAACTGGTTCAGTTAATATTAAGCCACGATATGTGAAAAAAGTAATATCACAAATGCCGACCGAAGAGCATTAAGAAGAAAAACAGGCGTGTCAGTTATTTACAATTAAGTGCTCTTTGGAGTGACGCTGTTGGAAGGAGAATTTCGAAGTCCACAACTCATAGAGAGGCCCACAAACTGGGATTTAGCACTTGCAAGGTAAGTTTTCTTATAAAAAAAGTGAAGTAAAAACCCTAAAATTGCACAACAAAAGCCACTATTAACTCCACCGCAAAAAAATCAGCTTAGATGGGCTAAAGAACATAGACAATAGACACCTCAACAATGGTGTGCAATACAATGGAGTGATGAGGCCCGATTCGAAGTTTGTGTTGGTGACAGTCGCAGTAGAGTTGTTCGCAAAAAAAAATGAAGCATTTCATGTTGACTGTCTGAAGAGAAAAGTGAAATTTCCAGCATCCATTATGGTCTGGGGCAGCATGCCATCAAAAGGAGTAGGAAAACTTCATTTTATTGATGGAAATACAAATATTTGGCAATTTTAAAATAATCGCTTTTACCAGTGATGGATGAATGTTTGACATCCGGCCAAGATTTTGTGTTTCAGCAAGATGGTGCAGCGTGCCATACCTCAAAAAAGGCTATAAAATGGATGGAAGAAAATAATGTACCAGTTTTGAAATGGGTTTCTAGCAGTCCAGATCTGTCACCTATTGAAACTTTGTGGCACGAGATGAAAAAGGTTCTACGACAACATCCTGCTCGTACAATCACCGAACTGAGACAAAAGCTTCAAGAAATATGGGATTGTTTTACACCAAATTAACACTATGCCGCAAAGAATTTCAGCCGTAATAAAAAATAAAGGTGATGTTGCTTTGTTAACTTCGCGCATTTATTCGCACATTGTTTATTTGTTCAGATGTTCTATTAGTTATAGGTCTAAGTATATGTATTTTTTACGACTAGAGTGTATCTAAAATGTTTTTGAGGAAATAAATTCTTTTAGAAGTAAATAGTTTCGTCATGTTTAGTTTATAAAGGCATATTTTGGTACAAATCTTGAAGTGGGCCAACTGAAGTGGGAAGGGGCTCGTACACTTGATCAACATAATTGATCCACTACACAGCTACTATACCAACAACGAAAACATTCTAATATGTAACTCGTCATGGAAATCACAAATGAAACTGAGAAGTTCGAAGCGTCCCACCAGCACTGCACCTGTCGCTTATTCCCGATCACTCACGAATGTGGAGCCGAGCCCTGCCGAGTACACGATTTAAATAAACAGTTTAATTGTTTTTATTAAAATGTTTGCGTGTTTTGAATGTACCCTTTCTACATAAACTAGATTACCTAAACTAACAAACAGTTTAATAAAATAGATATATGGTTTGTTTCAAGCAAATTAGTTTAATAGTATATCACTTTCAATTAAGCTAGTTCCAGATAATTCAGTTAAATTAAACGGAATAATTTAGTTAGAATAATTAAAAAATTCATTTCGGTTAATGAAAATTTTCCAGAAAAACTGTTTAATTGATCAGGTTTTCCCAGTGTAAGTTGTCAAAGTGTCGTTCGATTGCATAGTGTTGTTCAAATGTTATTCCAGAATCATCGATTCACAAATTTAGAAAATCGCCAAGACACAAAAAAAGTCTTCGAACAGTCCATAAAATTACGCTTGAGCTTTGCTCCAGGGTTTTCAGACACGTGTCGATCATCATACGAAATCTTAGGAATAATCACGATGGAGGTTGAGGATTGGTCTTTTTGTGGAACGTTGTTGTCATTTTAAAAATAAACAATTTTCTTTAGAAGAAAAATGGACTCTGTTCTTATTACTTTCAATGAAATTGTTGCCATTCTACTTGGCAACGTAGCTGTGACGATGGAAGTTGTATGTGAACGTCTAAATATAGCATTAGGTTGAGCATATATTTGGTTTAGTGTATGATATAGGCATTTTTGTTTCTGAAAATTTGTCTACTCTAACTTAGGAGTGCTATTATGCAAACAATAAATATCCAAAATACGCAACTTTGCCTCAATTTTGCGACTTTGTATCTTTTACAGCTATTGAGATACCAATAGTGGGAGTCAAGTCTGAAACCCTCAGTACTGGCACGCGAAAGGGTCATACTAGAGTTGTGGTAACTAAATCGCACCATAGGCCTGAAACAAAATGATAGCAGGATTCCTCCTTACCGACAACCACCCCTGATTATCTGAACCTGTTGCCATAGTTTCCATTCTGTTACTGTAGAATGGAAGGTACCAATTTGCTGACTATTTGAACCAAATTCCAAGGCTTACATAATTATAAGCTAGTCAATCGGCGCCAGAATTCGAATAGATAAGAAAGAGCCAAGCCTATATGTTTACATTGCATTGTTTGTCGCCAAATTGCGAAGTCTCAGTGCATGCTTTTGTCTCATTTGACTACCATTGCCTACCAAAGTGACAGCGTTGTATCAATATAATAATAATACTTACCGGAGGAAATATCTTACTTCATTGGGCTTGTGCTACTTTTGCAAATTATATCTGGAAATCGTTCGACTCCACAATTATCTGCAAACAGTGACACTTTTGAAAAATTCACTAAAGATACGAATTTCATTAAAGAACTATCAAAAGATGACTCATGCCAAGTGCACTTTGATTCTCTTACAGTCCATGAGAAATAGGAGACAAACAAATCCTTGACTGGCTTTATTTATCTATTCTGAATTCATGATCGGCGCTAATTGCCGGTTAGCAGGAAAGCTGCTTTCGATGTATTTACGACCCTGTATTCACTTTGTCTGCTATCAGAATAATCGCATTAAAAATTACTGTTTTTGGTAGCTCGGTAATAAGATCAATAATATAACTAAGATACTTACATATCGGAAATGGCAATGGTATACCTAACGGTGACGATAAACAGCAGAGCAGCCACTCTTACCAGGAGCCAAGGCTGACCCATATTAGGACATCTGAAAAAAAATGATAATGAAACGACATGTAAAAATTATTATATAGAAATGCATCATTCAACACTGAACAGCAAACTGTTAAGGAATCTCTCATATGGGTGCTTATGGTTCCTTCCTTATACGGAAGCTACTGCGTGTATATAGGGGCCATATACAAGGGGTCTTGACCTCCTCAAATTTAAGACATGTGTAGTCTCAATAAGATACTTCAAAGTGAAATCAGCAGGAGGTCATGTGTAATAGAGATAATAACTTGCATCGCGATACAAATTCCGAATCAGTTTCGAATGGTTTTGGTTTCAAACTATGAGGGGTCGATTCTATACGCACGCGCAGTTCGAAAATTTGTTGAATAGCGCGATAGCTTTGAAAGTAAATTATTTGAAACAATAGCATGGGAAATGAGGTGTCGCCCCTTGATTATACTATAGCATAGCATCAGTACCGGTAAAAAGTATTCTAAAAATGATATTTAAAAAACCGAAACTTTATCCCACTGAAAAATTATACGCAGATGTTCGAATGTATGATATAAGACAGCTTTATTTCTTACACAGTATCACTCACTACCATAAATTTGTAAACACCGACCAAAAAATTAAACATAATCATTATACCAGGTACAAAATTCTTGACACAGTAGTTCCTCAACCGCATAAATCTATAATGCAGCGATCATATCTCTATTTAGCGCCTAAATTTTATGAAATTATACCTAAAGACTTAAAAGATTTACGTTTCGGAAATTGTTTCAAAAGAAATTTAAAAAAGTGGCTACATTCTATATCTAGGACTGAAATTCATAAACTCATAAATACGAACATCAACTAAATACATAATCTACTGTAGCTATATTGTTTGTTATCTTTGTACATTGAGTGAATAAATATTATTATTATTATTATTATAATGTATCAAGATTTACAAAAACCGTAAGTTGAAATATGAAGTCGCAAAAATATGGAATGACAGAAGAAATCATTACCAAGAGTAGTTGAAAATTGTGTAGAAAAATCATGAACAGGCTAATGAAGAGAAATGGAAAGAGAAGTCGGAAAGAGTTTGCAATAGTGTTTGCACGTAGACAATGTAACTGTAAATAATACTACCACTAATAAAAAATACATAATAAACAATTTTTTATTTTTTTAATGTATTACAAAACATAATTTGTGTATTAGAATTATGTTTCATTACCAGCAAACCACAAATATTATATATACAGGGTGACTTCGAAGTTGAGTCATTTATTTTAACAGTGAGTAGATCTGATCAAAAGAAATGTTTTTTCCTTTACCATTTTTCTGGTAAAATTAAAGTAACAAAGTTATAGCCCTTTGGAAGTTTGAGTACCGCCCTGTCTCAATAATATCATGTGTTCGTGTTTGGCAACAACGGTTCATCGCATCGGAAACAAAAAAGCGAAAGAATTTGGAACGATGTTTTTACAATTACAATTCAGTTCAGTTATACATACAGTCAGTGTCAGTCGCGTGTAAATAGTGTCTGTTGCGTGGCTCAAACGAAATAAAAAATGGCACATGTTTATGCGGATCGGTTTCCCAATCGAGTGCAACCAACCCCTCGTGCCTTTGTTAATGTAGTACAACGGGCTCGTGAATCAGGTGTATATACTTTGAAGTTGAGTCATTAATTTTCAGATAATGATTGTAGAAGTAAGATAAACCAAAATATGTGTGTAAAAATAAAAAAATAAATAAAAAAAAATGTTACCTTGTTTAATAAAGTATCGTCCCGACAAGTATTTCAGTGCGGACCTGTATTTGATCGTGCGGTCTTGGAGCAGCATGCCCTGACCTGTGAGGTCTTAAGTCACCTGATTCACGAGCCCTTTGTACTACATTACATTAACAAAGGCACGAGGGGTTGTTTGCACTCGATTGGGAAACCGATTCGCATAAATCCGTGATGCATCCGGGAGCATTTTGTAAAGACTGCCCCCCCGTAAATAAGAAGTTCAGCATTTTTGTAAACATGTGCCATTTTTGATTTCGTTTGAGCCACGCAACAAACACTACTATTCACTAACGCGTTATCGACTGACGAAAAACATCGTGATAAACGTTTCAAATTATTTCGCTTTTTTGTTTCCGATGCGATGAACCGGTCAGGCGGATTATATCCGTTGTCGCCAAACACGAACATATTATTATTGAGACAGGGCGGTACTCAAACTTCCAAAGGGCTATAACTTTGTTACTTTAATTTTACCAGAAAAATGGTAAAGGAAAAAAACATTTCTTTTGATCAGATCTACTCACTGTTAAAATAAATGACTCAACTTCGAAGTTACCCTGTATATATAAATTTCCATGAAGTAATTTTCTGTTTACTTATCCGGAAATTTTCAAAACACACTGGAGCTATAGCAAACAGATTACAAAAACCCTTTGAAATCGTGGAAGCTAAACAGATGCAACCCTAACCAATCACCTAACGTTAACCTTTTGAAATCATGATGACGGCTTGAGATCACAGCTCAACAGTTGGTTAAAGTCGAGCATTGCGCATGTGTGAACTGTTGATCCTACGGCCGATCCAAGAACTGCGAGAACCAGCTCAAGATTAGTTTAGAACCAGCAGAACTGTTTCCGAGATCCCTGATTAAATGGTTCTGGCTGTACTGCAGACGATGTTTACGAGACTGCGCAGGCACGAAATTCCCGCGTAGACAGTGTGGAATGTTGAGAAGAATCGATTAACTACGAGGGATATCTTACTACCGGAAAGAGGTTAACAGCTCATATTCAAACATTCAGCTGACCGAAAGCCTTTGGCATTGACGTCAGTCTGAACAAATAGCTGAATACGCTTATTTAACATATTACGTGTGATGTAAAATATGATGTCCCCAGTTGATCTCAGGTTTCAAGGTATCTCAGACACGTATCGCAATCATAAGGCTACAGTTGTTGGGAAAAACGCTGGGGTTGTGGGACATCTGAAAGGGAGTTGCAAGGGCAGGTGCAAGCTTCAGTACACATATCTTCAATACGTCATAGGAAATGTACAAAAATTAAGTTTCACTGTAGTACCGCTCACAAGGTGGTGAAAGAGTGATGCATACCTTTCAAGTTATACAGCGATCGTCCACCAGATACTACAATCTGAATTAGTTTGTAGTCATAGTATTTTCTGACGCATTAGGTTAGGATTATTCGCCAATCTGCAAGAAAAATGAAACAAAAGCCACTGGCTGAAATGAATCTTGATGTTTTAGAATTACCAGTCGGTATGGACCCTGTTGTAGGGAAAAATGTATGAATATACTTTACAACGAAATTATAATCTTTAGAATAAATGGAAATGCCCACAGAGATGACAAAAAATTTGGGTAGGCATTTTTTTTAAATAATGCAGCTTATCAAGTTCCTGCTTCAGAACTTGGAGAACATTAAAATGTATTACGTTATAATCTACTTCGGAAACACAACCGACACTCTCCTCTGTGCCAAAAAAGTAACACCGTTAAAACTCCTTAGTCGCCCCCATGGGAACTACGGAAAATCTTTCTCGGTATCGGATCGGTTTCGCAAAGAATAGCGGAAAGCTAACTTTTCCAATGCTCCATCGATGCGAACGTCTTACTTGGATCAATTTCAAGCGGGAGTAAAAGACGTGAGGGAGGATAACGAAGGGAAAACTTGCCCAACAAAAGCTTTCTACAGCTATAAATACCCTGTCAGCTTCGTGCGAACAACCGATTTGTTCTCGGTACAGCACGAGATGTAAGCATTTGCTCTGAAGAGCTGCAAAATAGACAATGATGGCAGATAAACTGAGGAAGCTGCTATCATTAGAGCAACTTAGCTAACGTTGCTGCATCTTTGGGTATTAAAGTATCATACACAAAACATATGGGATTTGACTACCGGTCAATTTTGAAGAAATTTTGTACTGATCAAATGTTCCAATGGGCGCAAAGCCCAGAAATGCTTTCTATTGGAGCTGGTGTATTAGCCCCTTAGGATTTGCCTGCCTGCACCATTTTATGAAAACTAACTCGTCTTTAATGTACTCCAGGAGCTTAAAGATATAATAAAAACACGCATGAATAGTCATATGGTCAGTCAAGTCATCGTTAGTTGTCAGAGCGGTCCGTGGGACCATAGCTCTTGAGTCACAGTGTCAGTTTGTAAGTCGGTCAGGTCTGGTAGCCCAGAAACTAGACAATTTTAAGGAAAAAAGGGAAGGAAAGGAGAGAAGGAAGAACGAGAGCAGAGGGGAAGAAGAGAATCTTTTAGGATAGGCAGCGTTTAGGCATTGTTAAAATCACTTCACAGTCTTTGATATGGTCTAAAAATATTCGATTTTTTCTATAGATTTTGTCAAAATGCTCCAATTTTGGTTGTTCTAAGTTCACGAGTTAATTTTGATTACAGTGCGAGCCGCGGCCTTTTGTGCTTGCGAACTTGCTCGACTGTGGGGTCCACTGACTCACGCAACAGAGGGTTGCTGTGCGATTCCGCTAGGCTATAGCGCCGCTGCGCCTGTTGCTTAATGTAGTCCGGTAAGGAACAGCGAGGTCTCTATGTAGAGTTTCGTTAGAGACATACCATGGGGCATCAGCAATAGTGCGCAACGTCCTGCTTTGCAGAACCTGCAGATTTCGCATGTGTGTTTTAGCAATAAAACACCAAGCCGCATATGCGTAAGTCATTGCTGGTCTTATGACCACCTTATAGAGTCGAATCTTGTTAATCAAACTTAATTTTGAACGTTTACATAATAATGGGTAAAGTTGTCGAAACGTAATTTGGAATTTAGTTTTTAGTGCTTCTATATGGTTCCGCCAAGTCATCCCTTTGTCCAGAATGACACCGAGATACTTAGCGGAGGATTTCCATAGTATACGAAGTCCATTCATTGAAACTTCAGACGGAACGCCGCGACGTCTTTTGTACAGTAGATTGCCTGCGTTTTAGAATGGTTTATTTTAATTAGCCACCGATCCGCCCAATCTAATACTTCCTCCACCG